TGTACCAGCCCATGCCTTGGCGGGGGGTGGTGACCAAGCAGTAGCAAAGCGCAGGGGGCCCCACCTGGCAGGGAGGATGCTCAAGGGGGAGCGTGCGTCTCAAATCCCAGGTTGGACGGCACGGATGAGGGGGAGCTGCACCTGTTGGATTTCTGCAGCTCTTGAAGGAGCGCCGCAAGAAGGAAAGCGGGGCCGCCCCGCGTTTGCAAGGTTCTGGTTCAGCAGGTGGAGTTTCACCTACGTCCTGTTCAACCGGGGCAGGTTTTTCCAAGGGCAGCCGCCAATTCAACCGGTGAAGTTTGGTGCAAGCTGGAAAAGTGGATGGGTACGCTACACCTGGTACCTGCAAGGCGCCGTGGGCCGTGCTCCCAGCCGCGATCCCCGAATCCAGCGGCCCGGAAAGGGCGATCTCGGGATCCCCGCCGCTTTCCGAACCGAATCCACGCCGCTCGATCGCGCCCCCCAAGCGCATGCGCGCAGGGCGGGGCAGCCCGGAGCCCCGCCTCGCCCGGGCCGCCCAATCAGATCGCGCGTTCGGAGGTGCCCTTTCTTGTCCCTTCTAACCTCGGCGACGCATGCGCCTCCGCGTCACAGAGCCTCGCGGTAGCCGTAGTGCGCGCCGCGCGTCGGCTCCCTGAGGTTGCTAAGCAACCGAGGCTGGCCTAGCTCAAAGGAGGCCCGAGAGCCTTGAGCGACCCCGGGCCTAAAGCGCGAAGGGGCGAGGGGAGCGGAACGTAAGATCCACCTCCCCGGCCTAAACCTCCGCTCGGAAACAGGCCCCGCCTCGGTCGCTAGCCACGCCCCTTTGCTCTCCCTGACCGCCCCGTGGCTGTAAGCCCCGCCCTTCCGTCCTTTTCTCTTCAGAGCTTCCCGGAGGGCGGGGAGGAGTGTTTTAGTCACGTGCTTAAAACCCCCTCGCGGGGTTGTTCCCCGCGGTTACGACGTGAGGCTAGTCCGCATTGAGGTGCCCATTGTGAGGCGGAGGTAGGGGGCGGGGCTACCTGTTATTTGGCAACAGAGGCGGGGAAGCTTAAATTGAAGCTGCTGCTTTTGGGCCCCAACAGGCTAAATTAAAAAAGGCCAAGAAATAACGCACCCGTGGGCTTAACCAAATTAGTTACAAACCTGGTTGGTCAGTTGGACAAACGTGAATTATAAGGGGGTTAATTCAGCAATCCAGCCTGTGATGGTGGTTTATGGCCAGGAGTATGCTTAAAGGGTTTGTTTTCAGGCAGGTAAGCCAGCTTTCTCCAACCTGGTGCCCTTGGCAGACGATGGACTACCACCCCCATAAGCCCCAGCCCAGCGGACCAGAGAATTACTGACCACTCAAGCGGCCAGAAAGGATGAAGAGCTCAGCCTGGACATGACTGCTGTGTTTTGGCTCACCGATTACTCCTACTCCTACTATTATTAATTTTTATCCCACTTTTTAAATAGATTTTGCTCAGCTCAAGGCGGCGAGCATCCCTAACCCTCCGGCCTCCTCTTTCCCCCACAACAACAACCCTGCGAGGTGGGTTGGGCCGAGAGAGAGGGCCCAGCCCAAAGTTCCCCAGCCTCTAATTGTTGAGTGAGGCTTGTGAACCAAAGTGTATCGCTTGCACGAGCAATAAAAATATGGGAGCGACGGCTTTATATCTCAGCCAACATTTTACCCGGCCTCTTTCTCTGCCCCCGTGTCTGGTCCAAATATAGATGCTTTCTAGGTGATGTTTTAAATTCTTCTTTTATTTTGGGTGTGGTTAGCCACCCAGAAGATGGACAGCCATAGAAATCTTTTAAAGAAATAAATATTTTAAATGTTAAAGAAATATTTAATTTATGTATATATCAAATCTGTCACCGCCCATCTCGTTGAACGGCTCTGGGCAGTTTACAAAACAGTTTATCCACCCAACATTTATTGGGTGCAGAAAACAGGATTAGCCCAGCGGATCTCCATTGACTGGGATTTAGAAAAGCAGCATTTTCGAATGCCAGTTTATGAAGCTTCGCAAATATAAATAAATAACGCCCCTTTTTTAATCCCCCTTAAGACCAGGTTGTGGAAAAAAAAGTTACGTGGTCTAGGAGACGACCATAATCATAACCATTTTTAGAAGCTTGATTTTTCATTTAAACATTTACAGAGCTTTTTAGCTGGAAGGAGAGGACCGAGACTCCTGCATTATGGAGCAAGACTTTACCTTAATGAGGAAGGGACTGAGTGAGTTGCGGAAGACGAGTTCCCCGCAGAGGCCGAACGTCGGGTGGAACTACCCAGACCATGACAAAATTCATCCCAGCAAAGCGTTTCATGCCGTCAAGAAGTATTATGAGAAACAGGTATGCGATGTCTTGGCTGCTTCATTTGCAAGATGGTTATTAGTGGTCATAATAATATTTGAAGAGGTATTAATATAGCAGCGCTTGAGGGAGCAATGTGAAGTCTCAGCCCCCAAAAGGCTTATAAATCAGGGTTTCTATAATTCTTTGGGGACGTTGTTTCTAGCCCAAAAGCCACCATTGAAGTCAACAGCTGCTTTTGAGCAAATGGGATTGAAATTTAATCAAACCATCCAGAGATACCTTTAACTATTCTCCTCCTGCTCTGGCAATATGGTGCCATTCGCACAACACCCGGAACTAGGTTACTGAATTCACCCACGTTCTCACTGGGCACAGTACAGAGTTATCGGCTAGTTAAACAGCCTGGCTTCCCACAAGATGCTAAGCCACAAAAAAGCTAACTGGGTTTCACCAAAAGTTCAAGTTCAGCCTTTTGGGTGGATGTACCTGTTAGATTCTTCCTTGAGCTGGTTACCTGGGGTGTGTGAACCCAGCTTAAAACAGGCAGCTTGGGAAGAACTTTGGGAGATATCTGAGGGCCCATGTAAGGGTTTAAGGGTCTGGGGTTGTCCCTTTCTACCTATCCTGTTTGAGAGACCCCTGTTTAAAACTCTGGAGAATCATGGTTTGCTCCGTTAACCCAACTTTCTAGGTCTCCCTGACGTTCAAAACTATAAAATCACCTGTCTCATTTGCTTAGTGTAAATTGTGTGGTTTACAATTGAGGTTCAGACTTCAAGTGACTCCAGATCCTAAATCTCCTTTGGGATCCATTCTGTCCTTTGGTTAAGTCTGGGTAAACCTCTGCAAATCTCAGCCAATGGAATTGGTTATTGGTTCAGCAGACCCTGGTCCAGCTTAGGGTAAGCTTTGGGGGGTTGAGTCTATCTTCTGTCCTACCCTAGGCTGAAGAACAGAAGAAGAGTTCTTCTATATCAAACTCCGTTCCCGACTCGGAGGAACTGCAAAAATGCTTTCTGAAGCGGCCGGGTTGCCCCCAGTACTGTCACCGGACGACGTCAACGTCCTTCCTTGGTAAAACTCATAATGGCTAGCTCCACTTGTCACTTGTTTGGCCTTGATGCTGCTCACGTATGCTTTGTGAGTTGTAAAGGATGCTTGATTGCTGTGTGTTTTGTGCTAATGACAGCTTGTTTGCCAAACCACAGCTTAGTGCAATGTGTGAATCCCCATTGTTCAAGCTTCAGTCCTCTTATCAGCTGACTGCAAATTGATTCTCAGCCCCCCAGCTGCTGGAAAGGCGTCTTGTTCTTCTGGCATTCAGCCCCATCTGTTTTTGACCCACAGCCCAGCTTCTGGCTGACTTAGATGTGGCTTCACAGATGGGTTGTTTGGTTTGAGCTGTGAAGCCAGCCAATGGTGGTTTCATTCAACATACTATGGTTAAGACAATCCAGTTTATGGATTGAGACCCGGCTCCTAGGCATCCTGGAACACAGCTGGCCTGATCCAGTCAGTCCAAAATCACATAAGAGGTGAATGCATATGAATATTTTTCTCCATGAAATATATTAAGCTTGCAATTTTATGGCTTCATTTATATTTACACAGCCCGGTTTTCTTTGCACCACAATGAAAGCATAAACCGGTGTTTCTCAGCATGCATGTTGGCTGGGGAATTCTGGGCGTTGAAGTCCATACATCTTAAAGTGGCCGAGGCTGAGAAACGCTGGCATAAACTAATCACACAGCTTGAATTTGCGCAGTAGGCTAAAATATAGCCTAGCTCGGTTGCAATTTTGGTTCTGGGTATGCAACCACAAAGAGATTTTCTGCTAGCCCCCCAGGCTGGATTTCTTTCTGGGGGAGCATTCAAAGCGGCAACCTGTGGCACGGAGGTGACACAATCGAAAAACTTCCCCACTGTGCAAGTTGTCTGAAAAGGCTCCTGCAGCCATTTTACAGATGTGAACACTGAGGCCACGATGGTCTGCAGTTCGTTATCCAAGATGATGCTCGAATCTGAGCCTCCTTAGAGTGCAAACTTTGAAGAGTCAGAATTGAACCCGCCGCTTGCTGTCCCCCCCTCCCCACCAGAGAGGAGCATTTCAAGAGCCGGGGATCTTCCTATCAACCTCAGCACCATGAGTCTGACTTCCCAGATATCCTTGGACGATTGGAACTACATTGTCCAAAATCCGGAACTTTTGGATTCAAAGAGTTGCCTCAGATGTAAGTTTCTTGGTTCAACGAGCAGACTTTGGCCCAGCCCTTTCAAAGGATTCTGGCTTCTGATATTGGTTTTCTTCCTATAACCCTCCAGAAACCAGAAGAGATTTATGGCATGCTGGCTGGGGAATTCTGGGAATTGAACTCCACACCTCTTAAAGTTGCTAGGGTTGAGAAACCTGCATTAAAGCATACTAACCTGGCTAGGGAAGCTGGGGTTCTGTTGCCCGCAGCCGAAAAAAATTGGCATTGCTGGATCCTCTGGTTCACGGGGGACCCAGCAACCAGATACAGAAGACAGTCCCACTTGCACAGTGCCCCTCTGGTTTACATCATCCAGAGATTTCCTGTCTTGTCTACATGGGGAACTTCTCCAGAGTAAGATGGGAAGCTCTTTTCGAGCATTTTGACCCGATTTTGGCAGGCTGTCGACAAGAGGGAGGCTGCGTTGTGAGGACAATGATAAGTGGGGATGATTCCTCCATTTTGTGCCTGATTTGGTTTCACACTCATTTCCTCCGGCTGAATTGACAGACAACATTTCAAGCTGCCATTTCATATTTTTCGAGGCCCTACTAAGCAGGCAGCGGAACAGAACCAGTGGGGTTGTATCCTGTCCTTGATATATACCAAGCGCCCTAGATTTTTTTTTTCAGCTTTGCTTTTGGGCTGTGGCTAGTACAATGCTGCTTTGACTGAATTGCAACAACTCTCATGTTTTGGTTCATTTCGGAGTTGTCTCAATCTGTCCATCATTGTTTACGATCTAGGTCTTGTGGGAATCTAGCTAGATTTCAATCTGTTCAGCCAAGAGTGATCAGACAGGTGTGAAATGGGCCAACCTGGAGCTGTATTTTTAAGAGCATGATTCTGTTTTGCTAACTCCTTTTGACTGATTAACCCTTTTTTCCTGAGTCTCATATGATAAACTTTTGATGATGGAGAATGATCGCACAGCCAAACATCCAGAGCTGTGGGCGTTCTCTGTAAGTTGCTTGCAGGTGGCTATTTTTTAGTCGGAATCAATCATATACCGGGGAAATTAGCCTGTTAACGTGCTCCTCTCAGTTTAAATTAAAACTATTTTAGTTTGGATTGGGCCCAACCTTTGTCCTTCTTATATTTTGGCGTGCAGTTTCCAGACTGCGCATGATTTGAAAAATGCTTTCCCCACCTAAATGCTTTGTGGGGAAGGGTGTAAGAATAACCCATTTTTCTTTTCTTTTTGTTCAAAAGCTTGCAATTCTTATACCATTTTGTTTGCGTAACGAAAGGAGTGTCTTTGTGGATTTTTTCCCCCATAGCTAACATTGTGGTTTGTCAGAGCTGTAAACCACAGATTATTCACAGGTGGGGTCTTGCCTCTTTTCTCGATATCTCCCTGAGTATTACTAACAACTGAAAGTGAATTAAATACCTGGAAGGGTGAAGGGAGAAGATTTCAGAATTAAATAGTATATAGTTAAAGTACCAAAGTTGGCTAGATCGTCTGAAATTAGTCTGAAATCATTGTGGAGTTTCTTCATTGGTGCTTAATTTCATTAACTTCCCCAGCCAGAGATTGGCTTTGCAGCTTTTTAATGACATTTTTCATTTCCTCCCCCGCCCCACGCATTCACAGTTTATCCTTCATCGTCGGAAAGTATCCCCAGACTGCCCAAGTGGAAGAGCTTCACGGAAGGCTTTCCACCCCACACCCAGCTCAAAAACCGCTCCGGGAACAAGATTCCATGGTACATCCCTGTGCTTCATGAAAAGGTAAGGATTGGAACACCCAAGTGAAAGGAAACAAATGATTGGAGACGTGCAATTTATTTATTTGTATTTACATGTATTTATTTGATTTCTATAGCCGCCCATCTCGACAAGTGAGATGAGTCCCTAGAACTGCAGGAGAGATGATTTGGGACAGGAGGAGTCTGACAGCCGCTTTTCCAACTCTCACATTTTATTAAAAGCAGGAAACTTTTTTTTAAACAGATGTCTCGCAGGGTGATTCCTAAATGGGTACATGCACCTTTAGAAGAAGGTGCATTTGCTTTACTTTTAAAACTAAGAAGCAATTAAGTTTATCAAGCTGAGGATGAAACTGCATCACCTTAAAAAAAGGTGCCTATCTTTAGTTTAGCACTAAGGTTTAGCACTAGCTTGAAGTGTGTCCCCCTCCTTTGTGCGCACCACGGATAATTCTTTTTCTGAAAAAGAAGCAGCTTTGCTCTGCAGGTTTTCTCTAATGGGAATCTACCCTTCTTGATTTGAGGCCTCTCTCTTCCGGCTCTGTACACAAAACTCCTGAAACAGACTAATTTGAAAGCATTGTAAGAAGCAGAACAGTTCTTGTGGCCGCTAAATCGGTTTTGAAAAAGAGGGATCCCTGGGAACTCCCAACTTGTACTATGAGATTTGTTGCAGAACTCACTTGGTGGCAAAGCCAGTCCCCTTTGTGATCCCTAACTTCCCAGTTGAAGAACAAAGACATTGTTTATCCCTAGCTAGATGGTACCAAGGCCTCCCCATCAAATCTTGGCCAGGTGGGAAAGTAACTACATCAGTTTGCTATTCCTGGTGGGTAGGGAATGTCACTGCTGATCTGGTGTTCTCACAGTCCCTGTTTGGTGCAGCAATCCCATTCTCCATGGCCAAGATCTGGCTGTGCTGCTTCATTTTAAGAAAGCTCCATATAACTAACATCCCGAGCAATTGAGAAGAAATGCAAAAATCCATAGAAACACAAAACACATCAATTTGATTCAGGGTGATTGGCTAGAAAGTGGGTGAAGGAAGCAGTTTGCAAGGAACAGGCTGGTGTCGATCCGTTCTGAGTCCCATGGAGGTCTGCAATGGAAAATTTGGAAGAGGGTATTTAGGTTATTATTAAGCGAGGCTGTTCAGCTGAAGGATTTGGGTTTCCTTCCCAGGATCTGTCTCTTAATAAGATGGGAGAGGAGCTCGCCCGCCTTTCTCCTTTTGAAGCCGAGTGTATCCGGAAGGAAGGAGTGATTGCAGTCCTGCTGGAGGAAGTGCAGACGATGCAGAAACAATTGGACCAACTCCAGAAACAGCAAGCCGCTATTCCAGAGAAATCTCCGGATGAGGTGGTTGCCCTATTTGCTTCTGAGTGTTGTGTCAGGCCTTGGTAGCTGCAGGAACTGAAAATCCTTTTTCTCCAAGCACAAAGTCACAGAGTTTTCTTTAGCGAGATTTATTAAGGGGAAAGGGGTGGTCCTCATTGATTAATATGAGAGTGTCAGAATGCAAGGAGTGGAATCTGATTAGATTAATTATAACACAGTTAGGAAGTACGTGTAGTATTTGGGGGTTGGCTGTCTCTTTTTTCCACAAACTCCTTTCCCCATACTTGTGGCCTGGTTGGGAAATATTGCTGTCAGCCCTTCAAGGGCTGAAGGGAACCTGGGAGATCAACTAATCCAGCCCCCTCCCACTGCAGAAGTCTACATTGTTCGCACAGCCCTCATAGCCATATGTTAATACTTTGTACGTGAAATAATAATTTGCTTAGCGTTGTCCTGAATATCTCAGCACTGCTATCGCAACATTCAACAGAAAGAGTTCCCGCCCGAAGTCTTCCCTTAGAAAGAGAATCATACAATGGAAGATATTTCCTGATTCTTGGTAGTATCCTCTAACAGTTTGCTGTCCCTGGCATGCTGAGAAGTTGTTAGAAATGTGGGGGGAGGTTCTGCCACATTCAAATGCTGTAATCTTTGTCTATCGATTTAGTGAACGTTTATGCCTGATGATTCCCAATAAGGAGGAAAGTGGTAATGTGGTGCCTCCTGGGAGGGAGGGGGTCAGTTTAACCAGAAAGGCTCCCTGTATTGGGATTGTCCCTGCTGTCACAATGGCTGTAGAGGACTGAGGGAATGGCCTTGAAGGACAGAGGCTCAAATAAGTGTGAGTAAACATCTCCGACAGGCCCCTCCGTAGTTCACAGATAAGGGAGGGAGCGGGAAGCACATTCAGGCTTGCAAGACTTTGTTACCATACCTGCATACACTATAGTAACACAGGTAGTCCTGGCCCACATGGCGTTGGTTTCTTAGTCCGGTCTACCTTCTTGGGCTTGCAAATCTAAATGCGCTTCCCCTCCCTCCCTCCCTTTACCTCGGTGTCAACTAGGGAGGGGCTTGTCTGAGTCGTTTACCCACATTACTTTCTTGGTCCAGGCTCACACCCCTGTTATCTGACAGTCGCCTTGTTAGCAGCTCTTCTTCCTGTCCTTCAAGGCCATTCCCTCCTGCAGAGCCCAAGAGGAAAGACAAGAGAGAAGAAGAAGGAGGAAAAAAAAGCTTGGTCTCCAGTCCTTAATTCATAGCCAATAGATAACTGTTAATTCTCCTTCTGTTTTCCTTGGGCTTTGCAGCCAAGGAAGTAGAACGGCAGAGGCAACATGCTGGTTTTAAGGATGCTGTAGCAGAGACCTGTGTTATACGTACAATATTCCAGTTAAAGGATCAAGGAGAAAGATCTGCCCCAAACCATTCTGCTTCCTGAGCCCACATCCAAACTTTCAGAATTTCCCCAATTGCAGAACCCCCAAATCCTAGTTTCAAAACCTTCTTTACAGAAGCGGGCCAAAGAAGAAACGTGGGCGAAAGGGGACATCACCAAACTCCTCACGCTCGGTGTTTGTCCCTCGATCCGACATGGACAGAAGAGCGTTCCCTTTCTCCGTTTGGAGCAGGTGGACCTCTCAGAACAGCTCCTCCAGGTTGAGAACCTGAACCCGGAGCTGAGCCAGTCTGAGCAGACGTTGGACTCAAAAGCGTTGCTTTTGAACATGGAGCTCTTGAAGGATCAGGAGGAACTGGAGCAGCTGGAAAAGGAGGTAGGACCAAGCACGAGGAGGGAGAGGTAGTCAGGACTAAAATCTGGCAGAACAATTTGCAGTTATTTAAAAAAAAAAAACTTTAGGAAACAGTCTAATGAAAGAGAAGCTTAGCAAGTTCAAGGCGGGTGGTGCATAGTCTGAGTCATGAGGGTCGATTAATGGAGGGGAATAAAAAGGAGAGCAGAATCAGATATCTTGGGGAAAAGCCTATGGAACAGGAGTCTTCCACGCATGGCAACATTTTCCTGCTAATCCCGCTCGCGTTAACATTTAGAGCAGTGTTTCTGAACCTTGAGAACTTTTAAGATGTGTGGACTTCAACTCCCAGAATCCCCCAGCCAGCATGTTGGCTGGGGGATTCTGGGAGTTGGTCCACACATCTTAAAGTTGCCAAGGTTGAAAAACACAGCATTAACTGATGTCAACTGTCTTTACCTTGCTTGTCGTCTGTGTCCTGTTTCCCAATCCAGCATAAAGTTGGCTTTTCTTCCAAGCTGATAGATACATTTCAAAATAAAACCCTGGGCTCTGCAACCATCCTACCATTCTTTACTATTTCTTTAAGTTTAAAGTGATATAAACTTTCTGGCTTCTTGTTTGATTTGATTTTCTGCATTGAAATCAGTAGAGGACGTCTGCTGGGTGCAAAACACAAGGGCCTGTGTGCTTTGCAGCCTGTGGCTTTCTCTGTGGTCTTCTTTTCTGCACTGTTGTGTGTGTAGAAAAGTGGAATGCACGTTTAAAAAAAATAGTAACATTGCGTCATCTTAATAAGTGTAGATAATTGTCACTGTATGGATAATTAACATCAAGTATGAATAATTGGCACTGCAGTAGCCAGAGATCGAAAAGTCAGTGAGAAAGAGCTACAAAAAACGGAATTATAAAAGCCTTCTAGAGATTGAGCAGACATGGAAAAAGAAAGTTGGGCTGCCAAAAGCGATTGGCGTGCTTGGTGCCACATTGAAAGATCTGGAAAAGTGCTTGAACACGATAGAAGTAGAGAGAATCTCAACTCATCCATTCCAAAAAGTTGCATTCCTTGGAAGGGTGAATATATTTCAATGATATGTTTCACTATCTAAGATCCTTGGGAAGGTTCTGGTAACTCTGATGGGATTCACTGCACTCTCTGGTGTTTTGTGCGTAAGTAACAAAACAATCGTATTGATGATGATTCTCTTTCTGCCTGTTGCAATGTGGAAATTCATTAGAATTTCCATATTGCAACAGGCAGAACTGATGCATACTGAGGAAGAGACGTTTTCAAGCAGCGAATCCAAAGTGGGGGAACTGGAGTCGGATCTGGAAGAATCAGAGAACACCTTGATTCTGTACAAGCTTTTGGAGTTCCAGAAGGTGAACGAAATGCTGTACGAGGAGGTGCAGAGGATGCGAAACGAGTATGACCTTGCCACAGGTACGGCTGGAAAGTTCGAGAATGCTGAGTGGAAAATGGAGATCACCCTGAAGTTTCCCTTTGATGCCAGGGAAAGGGGGAGGCGGGGGAGCTGGGGGGAATTGAAATCTGCTTCTTTTAATGGCAAATTTGACAGAAAAGCTGCAAGGGAGCAGGGAGGAAGACAGGGTTCGGATGGGATGATTGGGTAAACCTTGAGCTTTACAGAAAAATTAATAAATAGTTTTGGAATCTTAAGGGGGAAAGGAAAAGGAGGAGGAGGAGGGCAAAATCTGCAAGCAAGAATAAATGAGAAGAGAGAAACGAACTCTTAAAATTTAGCATTAGAGTCGGGGGGGGAAATGGCTGAGAAGGGAGGTAAGAGTAGAAATGTGGGTGGGCGGGCTTTGCTTTATTTCCTGCTTTCCCCTTGCTTCTTCAGGCACTATTTCATCCCTGCAAAGACAGTTGTCGTTTGAGGAGTCCCAAATCCGGAAAGCTCACACAGATCATGAATTGTTACAGAAGGAGCTACGGGAACGAGGCGAACAGCTGGAGGCCATGTCCAATAAGGTTTGTCAACGGGCTTGGGGTGCAGGACACTGAGGACCGTACCTAGGCAGTTGAGAAAACAGATTTTATTGGCTAGATCCTTCCCAGTGGAGATTTGCACTCAGCCCCCACCTAGCTTGGTGGCTCAGCTTGGGCACTGCAATGAAAGCCATCCTGGATTTCATTTGACGCAAAATAACCTGCTCTTATTTAAGCAGACGCAAGGTCGGCTTGGACAGCAACACCGCACGAGTCTGCTTTATGTCTGTTGTTCCCTGCTGCAGACATTCAGTTATAAGCATGTATGTGTAATGGGAAGTAGGAATAACCTTGAGGAACAGAAGGAAGAGCCACAATCAAGGCAACAGTCAGAGAAAAGAAATCTGAGTCCGGGGCAGAAATGTAATTTGAAAAAGAGTCTCAGACTTGACCCTCCCTCCCTTTATCTTCATGAGACCTAGGGAGGGTCATGTCTGAGACGCTTTCTCAAATTATATTTCTGCCCCGGACTCAGATTTCTTTTACCTGACCATTGTTTTTCTTGCGGCTCTTCCTCCTGTTCCTCAAGACTATTCCTTCTGTCTATTACAGTTAGTATTTGTGTATTTGAGACAGTGGCATTACTGTGCAGCTGATGCCAATTACACGGCACGTGCTTGGATAAAGATGTGCAGGAAAAAAACGTACATTAAGAGCAGCGGCATAGCAAAAATATCACTTAGAGTGGCAAATGGGGTTCCAGAGTGGAGAAGGATGTCTAGTTTGGCATGAATGCAGACACCGTAGGATTCTTGTTTTTATGCGTTCCTTTTTATTTTGAAACATGCCCCTTGGAAAACCCCAATGCAGGAGCCTTTCACAGATTCTGCCTTTCCCCCTTAGTTTTGCAACCTGCGGGAGGAGAGGAAGCATGAAGAAATGATGGGTTCCATAGAGAGAGAAAATTACAAACTTCGGCAAGTAAGTGACGCCTCCTCGGACGTATGTCTGCCGATTTCTGCTCTTTGTAGGTGTTTGCGTCAGCCCCTCTCTGTAGATCAAATCAACTCCATAAAAAAGTTCAAGCTACTTTTATTAATACTGGGATTAGTAACAGAATGAGGCTTTATTCCCCCACCCTCCATACTCATATGAATTAGGGAGGCGTTGTTATGGACTATGCCTATGAAGAGGAGGAGGATATGATGGATAGCAACAGAGATCAAGGCTATTAGGAAGGAGGGGGTGCATTCCAGGAAGGGCAAGGAGACAAAAGACAACACAGTCCAGAGATGGGGCGTGGGAAGCATAAGAGGTTCAAGATAGCCACTCCCTAGAATCTCCCAGGGCAGATCCACAAGTTGCAGTAGTATAGATGGAGTCTGGCAAGATTCTGTCTATAAGGTATAAGCAAATAAAGGAATTTTGCTCAACTGGACTGTTTCACCGTTGTTCGTGGGCTGGGCCGGACAGGTGTCTACCTGAATGGCTTGCGCATGGCTTCTCGTTGTTTGGGACTCAAGCCACGTCCCTTTGGTAAAGAATCTGGCCTGTCAATATCAAGGCCATCTTCACTGCTTTTTACAGTTTGTCTATTCATAAATAGAAATGTGATGGTGCCCTGAACTGAAACCTTAGCAAGCAATCATTGCTACATCGGGGGAAAAAAATGCCAAAGCTAGCTGGGTGGTGTTCTCGTTGAAGTATGCGAGCCTTCAGCTACCCCAGAACCTTCCATCAGCCCCCCCCCCATGAGTTTCTCACCTCCCAGTCTTCTGGCCTGGCAACAAACAAAACAGAAACATAGCAGTCATAAGTTATGCAAAGTTAGGGAGTTATTTGGGGTGTTTCTCTAGATCGGCGCTTCTCGACCCTGGCCACTTTAAGATGTGTGGACTTCAACTCCCAGAATTCCCCAGCCAGCCATGGGATTAGATTGTCCATGATTCCTCCCACGGAGCACCCCGCACCTTGTGTTTGAGCTTGCCTACCGATTTTAATCATAGTTTCTTCAACAGAAACAGAGATTCAGAGTTGGAAGGGGCCCTTGAGGCATGGACACAACACAGTTAAAAATATCCAGGGTCTGCTAGAAAATCTCCAGAGAAAGGGAAACTACTTGGACCCACATCGAGCTGTTCTTACAGTTCAAACGTTTCTTCTAATATTCAGAAGAATTTGCCAGTCTGTAACTTACATATATCCTGCCTTTATGACTTTATGAAAGAGGCATGCAGTGAAAAAGAGCCAGAAGCTACTGAATTCCCCCTCATTTGGCTTTTTCTTTCCCTCCTTTTCTTCCTGCTCAGGAGATGTCCAGGCTGGAAGTCCAGCTGGTGGACAAAGGCCAGCTGGTCAGCGATTTACAAAGCAACGTCAGCCAGCTCCAGTCCGAGCTACTGGCGAACCAGCACCGCACCAGCAAGCAGCTGAGCAGCCAGAATGAGCTCCAGAGGCAGCTGGAGATCTTACAACGGGCAGAGCAGCAGACCAGAGTCACCCTAGAGAGTATCAGTGCCCGGGTAAGACTGGCATTGCGTCGGAGGCTGTTAGAGGTAGCTTTGCAGGACCTCCGGAAAGGGCAATAGAGACAGCTGACTAGGATTGGCTGGGGGGACCTGCAGCAGAACTCGAGAGAGAGAGAGAAAGGCACAACTGGGCTTGCACTAAACCTTGGTTTGTTGAAATTGTGGTTCATACGAAAAGTTACATTCAGTGTAGGGTGCAAATCCAGCTAGGGAGTGCGGAAGCCACCAGGGGTTGGGTCTGGACCATGGTTCATTCTGGGCAAACCACGGTGGGGTTCCTCCCATGCCCTGTGCTGCCACATGCCTTGTTTTGATCTTGCGGTTCTCGTCTTGTGGGCCTCGTGGGCCACCCCAGAGAAGAAACACATCCAGATGAACTAATTCTGCTTTATTGTAAAGCTACATTGACAGAATCTTGCAAATCTGAAAGTACAAATCTCCCATCTTCTTTACAGCCCAAGAAACTAGGGAGGGTCTTTCTGAGCCTCTTGCCCATCCACTGTCCAGCCGAGGGCTGTGCTGCCTCTTATCTGACCGTTCCCTTGGCAGCGTCTCTTTGCCCTGTCTCCCAAGGTCTTTCCCACGTGCCATTACAGCCTTATATGAAGCTTAATGTGAAAGCCCAGTGTCAGCTTAGTGTCGTGTGGCATGTTCTGCAAATCATGGTGGAATCAGGAGCACAGGTAGTCTTCTTTTAGTGACTGCCGTGTTTAGAGACGGTTCACAGTTACAACAGTGATGAAAAAGTAACTTTGTAACCAGTCCTTGCATTTACGACCTTTGCAGTTTTGTAAAGCAAAAAGCTGAAGTCAGATCATAAGCACAGTCATGGTTTCACTTAGCAACCGCTTCACTTAACAACTGAGTTGCCGGACCCAATTGTGGTCACTAAACAAGGACCAGCTGTATGAGTGCCAAAGGGCCATTTTGAAGGTTCAGAACTCAGAACAAAAGACCCCACATTCTGAGGTTTTGTCCTAAGCATAGTGTTTTATAATATTTTGAGTGTCCTGACATCAAAACGTTCCCAAGCCCCATTCCTCTGAGATGGTCCTGCTTGACAGATCCCTTCCTGCCAGCTGTTGATGTTTGAAGTGAGAAGAAGGGCAGCAAAGTGAGTGAAATTTATCCCGTGGTTTTGTTTGACACACCCTCCGTGCCAAAACAGAGTCAGTAGGCGCAAGAGAGATCAGCAAAGGGGATAATGCGTCTTAGCTGGTGTATTTTTCTGCTAGCTCAAGGAAGGATGCTGTAGTGCTTTAACCTGGCAGTGGGGAAAGCCCCCAGTTTCTCGAGTAGCTGTAATGGGCAGAAGGAATAACCTTGAAGAACAGGAGGAAGAGCCAAAACCAAG